AGTGCTCCATGCATGTTTGAAGGTGTTTTGGGGTCACAGAAACATCAACCTTCTTGTGTATTGTCACCAAAGTCAAATAAATACGTCTCTGCTTCATTTACAAAGTACCTTGATGGGGAAATACACACTCGCCCTTCCTTCCCAAAGTTCCAGTAAACAGTGTTGGAGTTAAAAGATTAAAAGGAGACTAGTGTGTGCCTGAGTGTTAACATGCTTTCATTCTCAGTCATCTGCACACCAGATGACTTCTTTACCTTTCTGTGGGACACATAAGTTAATTAGATAGAAAAACAAATTGTAGGCGATGGTGCTTTCTGCAGTTTCTGTCTCCTTGGTGTTTCAATTCTGCTTTCATATTTTGTCTCTTACTTAACTCAGCTGGATAACTCATGGTAACTCTAAAGACAAACACTTTAAGTTCAATAACTTAAGGAATGTTTTTGGATGGGGCTGTAATATGTGTCCTCTGTCTGTTTTTCAAATTATATCTGAGTGGTAGAACTGTCCACGCCCTGGGTTAGGGTCACTTGTTATCTTCCACCAAATTCATCATCATTTTGTAGCAACTCTGGTATAGAAAGGGGCCTGTTCGGCCACAGGAGGGCAGTGATGCTCTGTAGTCAAACTAATGCTGCAGTAGAAAAAAATGGCCATTGATTACAATTTACACATTTCTTTGTTAAAAATATCAGCACTTTGCCAAAATATTTCCATAACAATATCAAAGAGAACCATACTTTAGGTGAAAATGTTAAAGTCTATTTTTATTGTGTCTTGTGTCATTTTAAATGCTATTGTTCTTTTATCAACTTGTCTCTCATATTATAATGCCATCTAGGTTTACATTTTGATTCCTTGCTATGGTTTGCCAAAATGTGCATTTATGTTTTTAGCTTGGTAACAGCCATTCATGACTCTTTGCACATGGACTGTGGGCACAATTCTGTGCAGAGGAAGGTATACGACATATGTTGCAGAAAGATACTCTCGGTGATGTACTCTTTGAAGGGTTTCTGTGGCTGCTTGGATTTAAACCTTTGGGATCCTAAGACACCATATGAAAAGCTCAAAGAGGTCATGCTCGAATCCCTGGTGACTTATACGCTGGCTGATCTCTGACCTTAGGTCTAAAGTGTAAATAGAGCTCTGATGACATACGAGCAAACCTTAATGGTTCTGGAATCATTTTAAGACACATTACACAAATCTCTGTAAAACATGAATTAGAAAGACATGATAAATAGTTAATAAGGTGATTGACAGAGCAATGTGTGCTTTGTAAAATAACCACCAGGGGGCAGCGCAGCACCATTTTGTTTGGGATAGGGTGAAATTTAGTGCTATTTTCAAAATCTTTGGGGAAATTTTATTCAAATACAGAAAGCTACTGGATTTTATATGACATTCACATCTTCATGTGAAGGTTTCATTTATCTCAACTGCTTAGGTTCCACACAAAAGGTGAATTTGAATACAATTTTGGTGTGTTTTTCTTTTCTTTCGTCAAATTGTATCCCTGTTGTAGTGCTTTAAAAAAGTAGGTTTTCAATGTGAAACTTGAAACAGTGCTGTAATTCCTGACATTATGTGTTGTGTTGGTGTAATGGCAAAACACTTGTTTCAGTTTCCTGCACACACAGAGGCAGATGTTTGGTATGGTGGCCGAAAGGTGCAAACTCAAAAAAATGCTGCAAAGAAAAAGAAACAAGCCTGTAGAATTTCTAGATAATTCCAAAACATGCAAACACAAAAAACAATAGAACATAAAAACGTTGCAAATAAAAACTACTGCTCTCAATAAAAACAGTCTCATCTACCAGAGCTTCTATATGTCCCATTTTTGTAAATGTTGCAAATTATAAATGGGAGGGACGTGATCTTCTGTCAAAAAAAGCTTTTGTTCTGTCACTGTTCCATGAAAGCCAGCTTATGGAATGCAGAAATATACGCTATCTTTTTAACAAATTATCCACAATAATGTTTTGCTTCCATGACTTGTTGGTTTAGGTGGTCAGTAATGTATCTATATATTTACAGTCAAGCCATATTATTTTTGTTCACAAGTAATTAATAAAACCCTGTTCTAGGATAAATGATCTACATATGTTCTCTAGCAAAGAAAAAAGAAACAGAAAAATGAGCTGAAAACCAGGGAGCGTTATCACAGATCCTTCCTCCCAGCAGCTGTAAGGCTTTATAACCATCACTGCTCCCAAAAGCCTCAATAAGTTCTTACATTCATGCTGATTTTGTACATTTTCTCTCCTAGTCACTTAAATAACATGCTGCTGTAATTTTACACATATCGGGTCTTGCAGTTATTTTTCCATATCTACTACTGTAAAAACGTTCACAGCTATTTATTTTATTATTTGTTCACAGTTATTTATTCATCTGGGGACCGCATGGCATTTATATTTGTAAAAAAAAATGTTTTATTATTTATTTTTAAACGTTTTCACATATTCTGTTATTTTTGTACAATTTTAAGGTCCACGTTTATGTTACCTTTTTTGCTGTAATGCGTTTGTGGCTGAAATACTACAATTTTCCCATTGTGGGACAATAAAGGGATTTTCTAGTAAACATTCAAAGCTTTTCACATTACTATTACACAGCTGGCCTTTATTTACATATCCGGATTCCTAAACGCATTATTTTGACTGGTTTTATTTAGTGTCATCAGAATATGGAAGGCTGAATAGATATAATAATCACGCAATATTAGTAATTTTTTGTAAAGCCATGTGATCCTATTTTCTTTACCTCCAGGTTGGGCAGTACTTACTACGTACTAATTTTGGTTATTACATTACAAAATATGTAAAGAGTAAAATAGTTATGAATACCTTCATAAGAACTTAAAATTTCTGATTTGGCTTACAGAGTTAAAGATAGGGCAAGTTTAATGTAATGTAAAAGAATAGGTATGGAAACCAGATTTAATGAATTATACACTTCATGAAGAGACGTTTATTACATCAGTAGAATATATCATCCAAAAATCAGCAACAGCAGCACTTAATTTCCTCACTCCCACAGCTCATCTGACAGGCCCCATATATTTCCTCCACATAATGATAATCTTATCATACGCACATCCACAACTCTGTTGTTCAGCTTGTCTCATTAGACTAAAAGTATCTCAAAGATGCTTCCAGCTGCTTCTCATCTTTCTCCAACATAGCCTTCAAAAGCAGATGGAGCTTACAAACAGTTGTAGCAATCGGACAGGGCAATGTTTTTGAAGGCTAAAATGATCATTGTCCATTGTTCGATAAAGTGGTATGTGGAGACTGGGATCCATGGGGAAATCATGTTGAGTTCCTGTTTATAACATGTACACTGCTTGGAATATCAACAGAAGCAGGAAGCGCATTTTTCAAGTTGCTCCTATTGTGTACTACATAAGCAAAAAACAGATCAAATGTGACAACATTAGACTAGTTTATCATTGCTATAGCAGAACAAGAACACTACATCATCATTCACATGTACTAATAAAATAGTGTCATAGACATGGTATTTTTTTATATGACATTCACAGTTACATTCAGGATTCGTGATTGTGCACTGTTTATCCATGTTTTGATCAAATTTCTAATGTTACATGCAGTGAAACTACTGTGTTACACTGCACTGTGTTTAACGTACATTACAGGTTACTGGATTTTTATCCAGTGCATTTAATATGCAATTCATGTGGTTACTGGTAGATTACTTAAAATCCTTTACTTGTGTAGAAAATTATTACAATTTTTACCTTATTGGTCAAGTAAATTAAAAAGAGTAAAAAAGAAAATAAGTCTATGCTAATACTATATCACAATGTACAGAACTGTTTGTCAATAAATATGCAAGGACGTAAAAACAAAGCTCTCAGACAGAATAATTAAATAGACATGAAAGAACTGCTTTGCATTTGGAAAGACAGACAATGCAGCTTTCAAAAATACTAAAATTGGAAAAATTCAGATGAAAAAATAATGAATCTCTGTCTAGGAAGCTTATCTAGGACACAAACAGACAAACACAGAAATACAAGTACAAAATGTCCCTGTTTACAAATTTTTTGCAAACTATTTTTCGCAAGTAGATATCTACTTTGGGCAAGAAAGACAAACTAGATAATTGCAAGCAATTCCATTTGTGTTGATAAGATCATTATAGAGGTCAGTATTTACACATCCTACTTACATCAGTGGCAGTGGATAACAAATGATAACTTCTCCTTTGCTTGCAGGTTCAAGGTATTTTCAAAACTGCTGATTTACCAAAATGTTTTGTACATGCCTTGAAAAAGTATTTATACTCCATAAACCTTTTTATCATAACTCATAAGCTGGTATGACTGTGAGGAACAACAGCAGTGGATAACTGCTAACAAACAAACAAACAAACTGTTAGGTGGAGAGTTTAGTTGCTGGACTATATTGCATTGTAACATACCGGCAATACTGTTATATTAAATTATCTTTCCTGACTTCTTTTTGCTTGTTTTAAATTCCTACCCCACTGACTAAACATTTTCCGATACATCTAAAATGCTCAAGGCTAACAAGTGTGTTTGAAAATGGCAATGCAACATGGCTCATCCCAGTGGGTGCACTGCCCCATTTATAAAGTACAAATTCTGAGTTTTTAGTATGCTTGCATTTTTTATTTGACATTTGACTTGCCCAGAGAGTATATTCATACAAGCACTGTGTATTCGTAAAAGTTTTTATGATTCGCTTATAAAAACAACAAAACTAATTTGTAGCACACTTTCCCTTTAAATAACTTTGCTTGTTTCCTATTCTTCCTTCAATTCCATCCTGAAAAAAAGACTTCAGGACTTTAGAAACACATTTTCCATCTCAATTTTTTTTTTTATCCTACAGTGGGCTAACCCATCAACTCTATTAATTGAAGTCACTTTTTCGGCAAATTGTACAAAATATCCTGATTGATGCTAACCTTTTCATGAACTGCTACATTATTCTATTCTATTTTATTTTATTCTATTCTATTCTATTCTATTCTATTCTATTCTTGTGCAGAAATAAAAATGTTTACCCTAAATGTAGAATTGTTATTTACAAGTGAGGATTAAGGTTTTGAAAACATTAATCAGATGTTCTCATGATAGCTAAATTTCTTAAAGTTTAAGGAGTATAAATTCTTTTTGCAGTGTAGCTTAATTCTTATTGCTTTTTTTTAAGCTATATTCTACAAACTACTTCTAGTACAATCTCATCCAGTCATTTGTGTGAAGAACAGAAACTATCAGCTATTTTTGGCATTTGGAATCTAAGAAACACGACCTAACTACAATACAATGACCAATTCCCAATGCTAGAATTGTCAGTAATGTCTACAGAATGGGTACATTTGTTTTGTGCCGGGTGGTCCTACCCTCTGCATTGTTCATGTTACAGAGGTCATCAGTGATGATGTGCTCCAAAGGTCTCCTATTATACAACAGCATCCTTTTTCCTGTGGGCTGTAAACAAAACTACCCACGCGTAGATCACACCGGTGGATCAGAGCAGCATTACTTTTTTATTTCGATTCTGTCCAGTTTTGTGGCATATGTATGTTTTAAGGAAAAACAGTTTTAGGTACACAGAATGTGATCTGAGCATACGAGCATAGTCTGAAGCTTTATGCTCCAAGTTAAGTTCTGTGGGTCAGACACTGCGAGGGGCCCTCTCCAGTTCATGGGTCCTACGGTTGCGACCTTTCTGCCGCTCTTGCAGGTGCTTCCACTTGGACGTCATGCCTTGTGTGCGCATGTTGCTGTGAGGACTCGCCGCAGCCTTCTGCTGCTGCTGATTGTGTGCCTGCACTTTTTGAACATGGTGAGCTTTCTGCCGCTTGTACTTTCTCTCTCTTTTCCAAACCTGATCACAAAATTCATCCACACTATTCAGAGTTGGATGATTGACCAAAGACAGGAAGTCCCTGTACCACAGCTTTTGATTTGGACTTTCTCTAGACAAGGAAAACTCTTGTGCTGGGACACTGGTAGCTGTATCTTCATCACGATGTAATAGATCCCCCAGCCGTTCTGCGTCAATCACTTCTAGGTGAACCTTCAATATGGTCTGCATAAAGCCGTGTTCCACTGCATGGCATAAATATATGCCTGAATCCTTCTTGTCAAGAGTTCGGATCAGAAGACCCTGATCCGTCCGAATGAAACGTTCCTCTGATTGGATCTGGGCAATTAGAAAATTGGAAGTAGAAAAAATTAAACAAAGAGCAATAAATAAGGAAAGCAATACAAATTCAGAACATAAAAAGGAGCTATTAACAATAACATTTGCACAAGACTCATATCTCCAGAGTCTAAAGAACCAACTCCAATTTAGATTTAAAAAAGAAATAAATAAATGTCCAATAAATAAACAAGCGTACAACTAAACAGGTAAAAAAGAAATACATGAAACAAATAAATATAATCACCAATTTCAATATACCATGAGAATTAAATGAATACATTGTAATTTATTCAGCTTTTTAATAATTACCTTCTGCTTTTTTTTTTTTTTTTTTTTTTTTTTCATTTAACAATTTACTTCTTTTTTAATCTATATATTGCATTGAATGCTTGTTTTTCAGTTT